GAAGAGAGTCCAAGACAAAATTTATCTAAGGTAAGGTCTCAGGCTTTTTATGGATGCAGTATTCAATCTATGCCAGGTTCACTCTCAAATCAAAGTGGATTCCTTTGCCTCGTTTGGGGTTTACAAATAAATTCCTAAAATAAATAGCTATGAATTTACCAGATTGAAGAGTAAGACTTGCTCAGCTCCCCTCTTCACGTCCTAGGGAAAAGATTGTGCGCGGGTACAACCCCTTCCCCCCACCCCATTCCCAATAGAGATATCTTTGATCAGCTAGAAAATTGGGAGGGGGGTGAGGAGGAGGAGGGTTAAAGGGAGAGGAAGTTGGGCTGCGAAGGGAGCTGTTAACAATGTACTTCAGCACCCCCCAAAAAATGGGGAGAGTGAGTCGAAAGGTTGGTGCAGGAAAAGAGAACTTCTTCTCCAGCCTAGCATCTCAATGTCTCTCCACTTCTGAGATTGTTTAAGTGTTCCGGCCTATGCTGCCTGCTCTGTTCCCTGGGGCACATGAAGAACTCCGAGAAACAGGTTCCTTAAAGATTGAGAACTTGGTAAGCTGTTTTTGAAAGGGCCAATTTTTTTTTTTTGTTTTTGGTTGTTTAACACCTTGAAGCAGAGGAAAGTTTCGGGGACTCTCAGGCGCCTAGGGTACAAGGACGAAAAGGGTAAGAAAGGGCGTCAAAGCTCAGTTCTCAAGGCTGAATTACATCCCAAACCCAATAAGTAAATAGTGCTTCTGCGCACTCAAACCCTGTGACCAAGCCCACCAATGCTATGGAGCCGAGAAAAACGAATGGAGTGTGTGCGTGTGGGATGGGGGGGGGGGGGAGAGGGAATGCGGACCTGCAACCTTTCCCAGAGGACGCGGAGCTTCTCGACTCTGGGAAAATATAGAGTGAAGAGGAAGGGGCTGGCCTGTCCAGCTGTAGAAGACTGGTATTACTATATAGAAAGGGTGAAATGGAGGGGAGGGGGCGGTGTAAGCGGGAAGCGTGGTTCCTAGTTTTAGATTCTTAGTCTGCAGAACTTGGAATCAGAATTTCATAGAATTGGAACGGCGCGTCAGGGAGGGATACACACACACACACACACGCACAACTTTCTTAGACAGGAAACACGGAGAAAAGTAATCTCCAAAGGGGTTAGAGGATGCGAGAAAAGTAATAATGGCCATTTAAAAATACTCTGAAGGAAATTAAAGCCAAGTCCTCTGCTCAGTCCCCTGCTAACACACACACACATACACACACACACACACGCACACACGCACACACACACACACGCACGTAGCGAGTTGGTGTTTGAGCTGATTTTTGTTTAATGTACTTTTTTTGGTAACAGTACAATAATAAAATCATGATTACGTTAAAGTTGGTCCGAAAGCAAAGTCCCGTGGAAAACGAATGCTTCTTTTCCCACCTCATCTCCGTCTCAGTTTCGCAATCTCAGAGGGGAGATAGTCTGAAAAGGAGAAAAAGAAGCCAATGCTATCATTTGGACAATTATTTAAGGGTCACAGGCAAAGTGTTATGCAGAGTTTTGTAAATCTCAGCTCACTTCCCAGCCCCTGGAGGTTCCTCCTAGAAGGATTTGAGGGCTTTTCTAGGCAGCTCAGGGATTCGTCCTAATTTGTCGTAAGACCCAGCTTCTCTGTTGTCTAAAAAGACCCAGTTGCCAGAGGAGAAAGGAGAGAGTCTGGGAGCTTGGTGTAGCGGGTTTACCCTAATCTCAGGTCTCGTGTGATTGACAGAGCCTCTTACGTAGTGACATTTCCCTCAAGGCAATAATAAGGTTTAACTGGACTCAAAGCTATTATAGACAAGTTCGTGTACATTGGGGGGAGGGAATGAAACTTTCTAAAAAAGCGGGGGGGGGGGGGATGATTTGGAACGATGTCCTTAAGTAAACTCCACCAGGAATTAAAACAAAGGACAAAACTGTTGCCTTCTTTCACTTTGTCTTTTCCCCCCTTGAGCTTATTTTTAGTGTTATGTATGGTGAAGAATATATAAACAGAGAGTTTTGAAGGAAGTGGGAAAGAGGAACAGGGACTCTTAGGGGTATAAATTGGTCTTAAAAGTCAGACTGCACTACTTACTGCTAATGAAGGTACTTCTAATCCAAAATAAAATGGAAAGGAAAGACTTTCTTTTTAGAATTTTTTCTTTCTGGAGGGTCTTGAAGAAAACCATGGAACAAGTGTAAGCCAAGGTGTTTGTATTCTACAAAATTTTATTTAGGTAACATAAGAGCAATACAAACTTTCCTTGAAGAAAATAGCTGCAACCGGAGAGTGGTTTATGTAAATATCCTGTTGAAATTGAGCTGTAGATAGGCATATTGTTTCATGTTATCTGTGGTATAGACTTGGCTTTAAAATATTCGGGAAATGTGAAATACCATGGGGGAAAAACTCTTTTGGCTTGTCCTTTGAGTTCACAGGAGAAAAAATGCTTAAACCAGTATTTATTGATATGTGTGTGCATAAGTATTTACACATACACACAAAATATAGAGTCAGCTACAAGAACTTGCTTGTTCTTTTATGTCAAGGTATCAATGAGAGAACGTGTTCTAAAGAACATGTTCTAAAGAGAGTATCTGCATTTCCCATTGCCATTCTATCCCTGACTAAGTTTTGGGGCCACACAAGCAGATTGCCCCTAAGAGAATTTGGGTGATGTATGTAAAAAGATTCAGATGTGTGCAGATGTCTTCCTCTTTCCCTAAGGCTTGGAATGTGGAAATTACATTAGGAAGTCGTGCAGGAGAATTTCTTTTGAAATAAATATTAAATAAAAAACTCATCTGATTTGTGTTCTGTTCTTGAATGCTACTCTTCTCCAGCAGTATTGTTTCCCTCTCCCCAGTGGCGAATTGTAGCGGTCATTAAAACCGAATGACAAATTTCAGTGCTAAGGGAGATGGTTGGGTACTGTGATTATTCCCACCTCTTTCTGGTGTGAGAGCAAAATAAATACCTATTTTTACATGTCCTTAAAATCCCAAACAAGCAAACAGGAAAAGAAACTTGCAAAAACGGGATTCTGCGCCTTTAAAAAGCTTGATTTAAAGTGTTAAACGGTGCAACATGTTCAAATTGCAAATCACTGAAACGGTGGGGAGAGAAAAATAAATGACTCCTTGACCTGCTACTGCAAATCACCTTGAGGCCAATACTTCATAAGAAAAAAAAAGCCTCCTGTCTTCAACCTTCCTGGGGTCCAGACTTGTTCCCAAGGACAAAAACAAACTAATAAATTCAAGGACAAAAACAAAATCAGCACAAGATGACCAAAAAAGTAAGTGATTCTTCAGTCTGAAACTGAGTCTAATTTCATAATAACTGATGTCCTCTATTAAGCGCACCTCGGTGGCAGAAACGGAGGAGTACAAGGGACAGGGAGTGTAAGGACAGTAAGGGAGCTGGTGGCAAAAAGCATCCCTAAACTGCTGTTGGCATAGGAAAGAACTCCTCTCTCTGTCTGCACCAAACTCAAGGTACAAGGCTTACATTTGAAGGATAAGAAACTCTCATAATAAAAACCTACTTTACCCTCAACGGTTTCTTGCTCGTTGAGCAAGGGGCGCACAAACGAAGCAAAATTATTCTTTTATATTAATATGCAGTGCAATCACATGGTGACCATTTAGAGCATCATTTTAAATAAATATTTGGTTATTTCCCAAGTGTACTTTTGTATTTTTTTTTAAGTACAGGGAGAAAGTCCTGAGAACATTGATCAAAATAAAATTTTCCTCGGGTTCTCTAGAAATGGGAGCTACTGGCCTCTGGGCATGTAGGCTGTCCTTTTTCCTCCTGCCCAGTGTGTTGAATGGTATATCTTTGACTCTGTTTCAGCTGTCCAGAAAAGAGATTTTGATTCCAGAGTTTGGTTTTGTCAAAAGCAATGAAGAGGGTAGCATGTCAACTTCCCTCCTTTTTTTCCTCAAGAAGAAGTGAAAATAGATTTCTTCAAGATCTCGGTTTCTTTCTGAAATTGTGTTCACTCACAAGCCTCGAAGCCTTGTGCCTGTGCGTCCCCTAGAATAGAAAGATCCTCCTGAGGGTGGTGGCTAGGGGTGGTGCCATCTGTATCGATCCACTCCCATCTAATTAGTGAACTAATACCCCACTTCCATCCCCTAACACACATCCAAGGCTTTCCAGCCATGTGTCCACTCGATTTAGTTTTTACCCTGGCATCTTTATTGGTACACGCATCCTCTTCCAGAACCAGGGCAGGCGTGAATGTGTGCTGTGTATGTGTGTGTGTGTGTGTGTGTGTGTGTGTGTGAGTTGAAGTGTGTGGTGATGCTCAGTAGTTGAGGGCCTGGTAGAGGTGAAGCAGCCTCCCCAGGGGCGCGTGTTCGTTCCCTTCCTAAGCTGCTGCTCAGCCCAACACGATTTTTCTCTGGTAGGAAAGAATGGGCTGAGGAGCAGAGCTCTGTCTCTTTGCGTTAGGAAAGATAGACCAACTGGTTGGTCTTTGCGAACAGCACCAGTCTGGAGCTCTCTAGTTTGTTTACTATTTGCTCTCTGCTGAGGAAAGTCCGATGTGATCAAGAGCAAACTGGAGGCCACTAGTCTGGGAGGGCAGTGGGGAGCAGTTCTGGCGGACTCGGGTGATAATCCAAACTCCATCCCAGCACCAAATCCCCCTGTCCTGCTAGCCCCGTAACCACAGGAGAAAGTAATTTCACTTTTTCATTCTGCAAGTTGATTGAAAAGCAGCATTTACCTTCTCTCTCACTCCTCCTCTTTTGCTCCCCCTACTATCCCTCCCTGTTTGCATTCCCTCCTCTTCCTCTCCCCCACCCACCCTACCGACACCCCACAAGAAATCAGGGGGGTGAGGAGTTGGGGGGGAGGGAAGGGAGAGAAAAATGTCTCGAGTCCCGTCTCTCCCTCTCCCTTCTTTTAAGACTTAAAAATCCTGACAAGTGAAACTTAAAGGTGTTTACCTTGTCATCAGCATGTAAGCTAATTATCTCGGGCAAGATGTAGGCTTCTATTGTCTTGTAGCTTTAGTGCCTACGCCCCGCCTCTGGTGGCTGCCTAAAACCTGGCGCCTGGCTAAAACAAACGGAAGGCAGCCCCTGAGCCTCCACTCAATCCAATTAAGGCGGACTTGGTCCACTCCGTTACGTGTACATCCAACAAGATCGGCGTTAAGGTAACACCAGAATATTTGGCAAAGGGAGGGGGAAAAAGCAGCGAGGCTTTGCCTTCCCCCCTCTCCTTTTTTTTTTTTTCCTCTTCTTCCTTCCTCCTCTAGCCGCCGAATCATGTCGATGAGTCCAAAGCACACGACTCCTTTCTCTGTGTCTGACATCTTGAGTCCCCTGGAGGAAAGCTACAAGAAAGTGGGCATGGAGGGGAGTAACCTCGGGGCTCCGCTAGCGGCATACAGACAGAGCCAAGTAGCCCAGCCGGCTATGCAGCAGCATCCGATGGGTCACAACGGGACCGTGACTGCCGCCTACCATATGACTGCTGCTGGGGTCCCCCAGCTCTCGCACACCGCTATGGGGGGCTACTGCAACGGCAACCTCAGCAACATGAGCGAGCTGCCTCCTTACCAGGAGACCATGAGGAACAGCGCCTCGGCCACAGGCTGGTACGGGGCCAACGCGGATCCACGCTTTCCCTCCAGTAAGTGTTACCCCACGAGTGGGCAAGAACGAAGGGAATGGTGAATGCGGGGGAAGGGAAGCTTGGTTCACTGAGGGGACGTCCAGGCAGCGGCGCAAAGGAGTAGGAGTGCAGGGAAGCTGAGGGGGTCCTCCCTCTTCTACCTATCTGTCAAGGGAAGCAGAGAGAAGAAGGTGTAACAAGGTTCTGGGTGTCCCAGACAACACTCAATGGAAAATCTCCCTGTATTTGTCTCCTTCTTCTCCATACCCTCCCTACCTCTCCCAGTACCTCTTTGGAGAGGTCTAAGAGAAAGATGAGGCAGAATAATATAGGTAGAGACTGTGTCCTTACCATGGGGAACTGTTTCCTGTGGGAATGAAGCAAGTTCATGGGGGGGGGGGGGGGGGGGGGGAGGCTAGTGGCATCAGGGAGCTACAATTGCGGCCTGGCCTGAGATTTCGGAAAAAAGCAAGAAGGGGGTTAGTCTAGGGTACAAAATACAGAGTACTCTTACTCCAACCACCAAAGAAGTAACTAGAGAAAGGAGGAAGGAAGTGCTGAGGGGAAAGAAATCAACTAAGTCCTTTGCTCTGGAGGGCAGGAGACTTCTCTAAACAGAAGTAGGCGGTTTCACCTTCCATCAATGGCTGAAGGGTTGACCGGGTGAGGAGACGTGTGGAATATGGGGGGTGGGGGTGGGGGTGGGGGATTAGAGCTGTTTTAGCCTGAGGATTTGCCCAGCCCCACAATTCCAGATATCTGATTTTTCTCTCAAATATGAAGCCCTTCCTTCCTTAAGGCCCTCAGCCTCTTCTCTCTATCCTATTGAAATGAGTTCGGTTGGGGGTTGATCCAGGCTTTTCCAGGGGAACTTGCTTCTGCAGAAGCAAGTAAATGGGAATATATGTATATAACACATCGCCCAGAAAGCGGGAAATCTGAATTTCCGGTCTCTGGACTGTAGTGAGGACTGCATCTAGGATTCCCGCAGAAGTCCCTCGAGGACTGCACTGTCTCACTGCGTCTTCTAGATCAAGAGAGAAAGTACTTTTTTCCCGCTCGAAAAACCAAAACCAAAACCAAAGCCAAAAAGTAATGAAAATCCCCAGCCTCCCTTTTCTCTGCACAGGGGATTCCCTGAGCTGGTGAGCAGTGTGCCTGGACGGGACGGTCAGGGCCTAGAGGGGTGGGGTGTGTGGCTGTAGTTAGGGGGATCTGAGGCAGAAATGTCTCCAAGGTCCCCAGCCCGACCCATGTACTGTTGTCACCTTGCAGTCTCCCGTTTCATGGGCCCCACGAGCGGCATGAACATGAGCGGCATGGGAGGCCTGGGCCCTCTGGGGGACGTGAGCAAGAACATAGCCCCGCTGCAGAGCGCGCCGCGACGAAAGCGCCGGGTCCTCTTCTCCCAGGCGCAGGTGTACGAACTGGAGCGGCGCTTCAAGCAGCAAAAGTACCTGTCGGCTCCTGAGAGAGAACACCTGGCCAGCATGATCCACCTTACGCCGACCCAAGTCAAAATCTGGTTCCAAAACCACCGCTACAAGATGAAGCGGCAGGCCAAGGACAAGGCCGCTCAGCAGCAGATGCAGCAGGACAGCGGCTCCTGCCAACAACAGCAGCAGTCCCCTCGGAGGGTGGCAGTGCCGGTTTTGGTCAAGGATGGCAAGCCATGCCAGGCCGGTTCCAATGCTCCCAGCGCTGCTGGCCTCCAAGGCCACCAACAGCAGGGGTCCGCGGCTGCGGCCATCACTGTGTCCAGCAACGGCACCAGCCTGAGCCAACACCCGAACCACCAGTCCAGCAGCGCTGGTCAGTCCCCGGATCTGGCCCAGCACTCCGCCAGTCCTTCGTCCCTCCAAAGCCAAGTGTCCAGCTTGTCCCACCTGAACTCTTCGAGCTCGGACTATGGCGCTGCCATGTCCTGTTCTACCTTGCTATACGGTAGGACCTGGTGAAAGGATTTCATACCAAAAACAAATGAGCCCTCCCTCCACTCTCCACATTTCCCCACCACACCACACACAGATAAGAATCAAATAAGCTGTTCCCACGTTATGTTTCAACTTTTGTTAATAGTCTTTACCCGTTTAAACAAAAGAAACAAAACAAAAACCAAACTGCTGGACGTCTTTCTTTTCTGTGCTTTTTAATTTTGTGTGTTTTAATAGAAGCAAAAAAGTGAATTTAAGATTTCTTTAAGGAATCTTTAAACAGAAAGAGACGGACAGAAAAAGAAATACTTTGGGGGTTTCTTTTAGGTGATAAAAATGGGTTTAGAACGCCTGAATGGGGCTTTTCTGAGAGGGCCATCGTGACTTTAAAAGTGTGTGTGTGTGTGTGTGTGTGTGTGTGTGTGTGCGCGCATATATATATATATATATACACATTTATGTATGTATATATAAGCACAGGTATATCATATACATATACATGTATATATACGCAAACGTATATACGCATATATATGGGTATAAATACTCTATACACATATATATACAAACATACTTATACACATACACACATACACACATACTAGGAAACAACATTCACCCACACACATAACCAGCGAAGTATACTCGAATGTAAATACAAGGATTTCTTAAATGGGAAACCTGGGGAAAGAGGAAAGGCGCCTTTACCAAACCCACTCGCCACAGAAACAAAGGAGGCACAAAGCATCCCAGGCTTCAATCCCTCAGTCTCCTCCTGACCCCCAATCTGGCTGCTCAAGGCAGAGGAAACATTTTCACTGACCTTGGTATAACATTTTTTTTCTTACCTTTGATGTGAACCTGTAGCTGTATAATGCTGTCAAAAGTTGGACTAAACATCTAGTTTTTAGTATCTGTATATTTTGTTGTAAAAAGGAAATTCTGCAACTTCCCCCTACCTATTCACCCCTTCACATTTTTTATGGACATTGACAGATCCGTGTATATTATTTGGCAGTTTGGTATTTGCGAAGTCAGTCTTTTTTTTTTTTTGTAACTTATGTAGATATTTGGCTTAAATATAGTTCCTAAGAAGCTTCTAATAAATTATACAAATTAAAAATATTCTTTTTTTCTTCTATTAATACCCCTTTTAGTTCTAGTGATTGTGGGAGTTTGTTGGGATTGAGGGAGGGGCATATCACCACTCCCTCAGGGAAATTAGACTCGTTTTAGGTTCTCCCTAGAGAAGGATTCAATCTTCAAGAGTTTCTGAGGTGTGGAAGACCCAGATCTGTTTAGATGGAGACCGAAGCTTTTGCTCAACCTACTGAAAAAAAATTTGTGGCCACTCCTGGTAGGCAGATATCTTGAGGATTGGAAAGGAAAATTATATAGCAAGAGATAGAAAATGAAGAACAAAAAAAATCAAATATTTAATCCCTCTTATTTTAGAAACAAAATCTCTCCTTTGTTCTATAAAACATTAAGAAAATTCTTAATTCCTCCACTGGAGATGTAATTTTAATAATGCTGAAAGATGTCATTTTTAAACGAATTGGTTGTGCTAAGAATTTAACCTTTATGCTCTAATCCTGCATAGCTTTCCTGCAAGGCCGTTTGAATTAGCTATGTATGTATATGTATGTCTCTTTCAAATGGTAGTGCTGAGAGGAGAAGAAGAGACAGAATTTGTGCCCTTAAAAAGCTATTTCTGCGGACTGATGGAGACTTATTGAATGCAGGTTCACTGGCTCTACCGTAAGAGTTTCTTTGTGGATTGTTTTCTTTGCAGGTGATTTTTAGCTGAATCACTAGGATAAGGAGACAAGAGACATGTGAGATAAGGGTTGCAGGGTTATGGGGACAAGGCTGGAGGAGCCTTTAGAATGGAAGTTATAGGTTGGCTAATGGTTAAGGCTTTATTCGACTTGTATCCAGCTCCGGAATCCTAAATCCTTTCTGCAAAGAATCTTTAGCATCACTCTACATCCTTTCTTTCCTGATTCCTCTTTTCTCCCAATTTTCTTTGATTTTCTCCACCCTTTCTCTTCTCCAGGAAGTGAAGGAAAACAGCTTCAAGGGTAGGTTGAATTAAGGAACTCTCAAGGAATTAAAAAATGGGAGTATTAAACTGAACTGCCCACAAGTTTTCCCCTCCCTCCCAACCCCCACTCAAATAGGCAATGGAAAGTGCCTGAAAGAAAGAATTGGGATGGGAAATCTCTAGAACATCATTCCTCGCCCCCCCCCCCCCCCCCCCCCCCCCCCGCCACCTAGTAAACTGAATAGATTTAATTATTTGCAAAAATGCTGAGGGAAAATGGCAAGTTTCCTCACTCACACCTTTTTTTCCTTTTCCTTCCTTTTCTACTCCTCTCTTCCTTTTCTTTTCAGTGGAAGAAATTAAAAGATTCATGTAGGTCTCTATGCTCTCTCTAGGGACACCAGAGTTGGTGAAAACATTGCAAAACTTCAAGGTAGTAAGCCCCCTTTGTTAGCTTCCTGAAAGCTTTTCTGTTTTTGCTCTCTATCAAAGGATTGCATTGGTGTTCTATGTATAGTAGTATTTGATTGTCCTGTTTAGGATAAAAATAGGAAAGTGGGTTTGGGAAAGGATGACGCTGGAAAACATGTCTATTATTTGAAGGGAAATCAGGAAATATGAAAAGAATTTACACTTTCAAACCAACAGAAATCAACACTAAACTTTTAAACATCGTGGGCGTTCCCTTCCAGCTACGTTCTGGGTTCAGCCAAAGAGGGACCTGGGGTTTGGAATTAGGGGCTCAGAGAGGAGCGAACAGGTAGGTACGCGGAAAAATTGGATTGTAGTGGGAGGGGACATAGATCTATGGAGGTAGAGAGGCGTCTCAGCTCCACGCTAGTAGCTGGTTCTGGGTAATACCCAACTGGCTAATTCTGTACACGAATTTGTCTTTCTTAAAGTAGATTTAGTTTTTCCATTAAATAAACTCTTTTACACCGTAGTCCGCTGTCTGCTTAAAGTCTGTTGACTTGTTCCAAGGAAAGGTGAATTCATTTCTTTCTGTAGCACAAAATTCTGGGCAAACAGGATTCCGGCTACATTTACATATCAATCACGAGAAATGCAAACAAACGCTTTAACAAATTTATGGAGGGCCGTGGAGGATTTTTTTTTTCTCTCTCTGACAAACATAGTTTCTAGGACACTTAAAAATATTACAAACTTCTTTGTGGAGAAATAATTGAGGAGTGAAGAACTAAGTGTGCGGCTTTTGAATTATTCCCAGCAGAAATATATTTCCTGCTTGTATTCCTAGTCTGACCACATTTTTCACCCCTGGGACCTCCATACAGCTAGGATGTCTTCTCCATTCTTTGGATAGTCCCCCATCTTTGGTTCATTTTCGGTTTAGGCAGAAAGCATGCCTTGTTGCCCTTCTCAGAGTGGCACCTGAAGTAAGCAGTAAAATAATCCTGTAGAGTCCACAGATGTTTGGGTAACACCTGTCTTTTCCATCTTAGGGTTCTCCCTCTTTTGATAGAAAGGGCTCTGTGCCTGAACCCCAAGAACTTTCTTCACCTCTATCCCTACTCCCAGGCCCTGGCTGACTACTTAAAGGAGTGGGGGGGGGGAGAAATGCAGAGGGAATTTTTCTCCCTCCCTCTCTGATGTAAACATGAGACTACTCTCAAGAGCCCTGGAGTGCAGTTGTAGTGTTATTGGGGGTTGAAACCAGGGAATTCACCATGTTTGATGTTTAGTATCAAAAAGCATTTTGCTTTGCTACCCGCCCCCACTCCACCCCGCCCCCCCCCCCCCCCCCGGCCTTTGCCTGAGCCGAAGAAAATAGTAGAAGCTTGGGAATCTAAAGGCAAGAACGCCCTGACTGAACTGGTGTTGGATGGGGAATGGAAGTGGGAAGGAGGAAAAAGAGAGAAAAAGGAAATGGAAGGAGGGAAGGAAGAACCAAAACTGTTCTCTCTGCTTTCCCTCCAAGGAAACCAGCTATGCAGTGTTGGGGGGGGGGGGGTGGAATGGCATGGGAAGACATGCAGGCATGCAGAGACAGAAAGGCAGAGAGACAAGGCAGAGAGAGGAGAGGAAGGGAAAGAAGGGAAGAGAGGGGTAGAAAGAAGGAGAGAGAAAGTGAGGAACCAGGGAGTCAAAAACACAGTTTTCAATGTTCAGTGTAAACTGTTCTCTGCAGAACTTCCAAGTGTTAGGAGACAGCTCAAGCTCAGAAAGATGGGCTGGCTTTGGGTGAAGTGCCTAACTGGTCCAAATAGTATAATCAGAGAAAACCCCATGCTAATACTGAGATAAATCAATTCAGGACATAATTTATAGCAGTAGGCGATCAGTAGTTATCCATCTATTCCTCTGGGCCTCAAAGACAGGCACTTCTTTCTCTAACTAGGAAGGCTGTGACCTCTTCAAAAAGGCGGAGTTGAATGTGAACAACTACAGTTTCCCAAAGGATTTTTGATTTTTTTTTTTAATGGAAAGATTTAGGAAGGTGGTCCTGGTTATGTTGTCTATGTGTTGAAAGTGAGATCTCTGATATAAAAATTATAGCCAAAGGTTTTATAATTGAAGAGACTGATCAAGATGAATCACAACTACACACACACACACACACACACACATCACATGGATGTGTTTAATGTATCATGGGGTGAGGGTCCTGAAGGGAGGAAAACAGAGACAGTCTTAATTTCGGCATCATAAATACAAAAGTAGCAAGAGTATCTTCCAAGGCGTTAAGAAGAAATGAGATCGGGTTTTTCTGGCTTCCAGCACATTAGGTATCAGGTAAGGTCACTATTTTCTATTTTATATCTTTATCTTTAAAGAGGTCAATTTAAGAAAAAAAAAGTCTAGGATACAAAGGAAGAATTCTGATAAAGAATATACTTTTCCTTACATTACAAATCAGATAAGATAAGAATCTACTTCATTATCAAAAAGAAACTTGTGAGAATCCAGCTTGAATTCAAATTGGATTTATCCCATCCACTATCTACCCTCAATCATTTCTAAAGTAATATTGATTTATAGTGATATATAAAACATGTAATAGAAATCTGAACTTGGGTTGATACTTTGCTTGTAAGTCAAGGTCTTAAAAATAAATAATACCTACTCTGTAATCAAAGTGGCAGATTATAGACTTGTTTTCATAACTCTATGCAAAGAT